AGGATTTTCCTGGCTTCAGCCCTCAGATTGTGTGCTACTCTGTCTTCAGGATGAAAAGAAAATGCTGTTTACATTTTTCCTCCAGATTAACACCCAGCATGTTGCTCTGTACAAGGGCCTAGTCTGGCTGCTGTTGCATTTGCACTGGAACTGGATTGGGCTGCTTGTTCAGAATGATGACAATGGTGAGAGTTTCCTTCACAAAGTGACCCCCTTGTTGCAGCAGGAGGATCTCTGTGTGGCCTTCACTGCTATGTTCTCAACAATTGAGGCTGCACACGAGCATGAAGTCAGAACAGGATGCATTCCTCATGTGTGGGAGGAAGCTGAAGTCATAGTTTTCTTTGGTGACATCACTGCAATACTGTAATTAACAATCCGGTTACATATTCATAAAGAGAACACAAAGTTCCAATTTCAGAAGGTTTGGATCCTGACCTCCCATTCAGAATTTGAAGCAAGCACACACTTTGAATTCAGAATTCTGCTAAAGACGCTTCATGGAGCTTTGCAATTCAGAGTCCACACAAGAGATATTCAAGCATTCAAGGCTTTTTTCCTAACTTGGATCCATTCCACCCACAAGGAGATGTCTTTCTTCCTAAGTGGTGGGAAGACGCATTCCTGTGTCAGTTTCTGAGCTCAAGAGAACCCCCTCCAGATTCAGAACCATTGTGTACAGGGAAGGAGATGCAGAAGGATCCAAGCAAGTTCTGGTTCGAACCGGGCATGTCCAGCCACAGCTACCACATCTACAATGCTGTCTATTCTGTGCCTAATGCGCTGCATGCCCTGTCCTCATCAGGACTGAAATATTCAGTGATGGAGGAAAGGAAGCACGTTCTGAATATTCAGCCATGGCAGGTAATGTCCAAATCCAGGTGTCTTCAACTTATCCAAAGAGTCCTGGTGCTTGTTCTTTCAGTGATCCTGAGTGGAGGGAAAGGTTAGTCAACAAGCAAACTAAATTTGGGGGAATCATGAGAAATTTTATCCATGGATTTATCTCCATGGATCCAATTTTTCTGTAAGGACTTTCAAAAGTCAGCAACGTTTAGCAGGGATTGGTGGTGCTCCTCAAATACTGATGCTTTCCAAATAATGCAAGAAGCTCCAGTCTCAGATATGTAGGTCCAGGTTAGTATTTTCATGAAGAACTGAGAGTGGGTCTGCCCCACTCAGAATGTTCCTTCCTGCCATTATGGGAGAACCCACATGCAGGTCTCCATGCTGACGTGGGCAAATGTTTTCCAGCTCTTTGGAAGTTCCTTGTAATAAAGTGGATAACAGGCAACGATGACAAAAGCAGTGTGAAAGCTTACCTGAGCAGATATCACCAAAGGGGACAGCAATTTCACAGCACTAAATTTCACAATACAATAATGAGGGAAAAGCAGGTGTCCAAACCAGATGGGAATCAGAGTGCAGTGGAAAACAATTCCACTCACTGTCCCCTGCTTGGAATATTTCTGCATTTTCAGATAATGCATCCTCTGAGGAATGTCCGGTTTAACAACAGTGCTGGGGAGGAAGTCTATTTCACGAAACAAGACAGGAAATATAACATCTTGAACTGGAGCTTATCTCCAAATGGAACTTTGTACACTGTGAACATTGGATGGATTGACCATGGTGCTTCTCCAGGACAAGACTTTGCCATCCTCTCTGCAGCAATCGTGTGGCCAAAGAAGGTGGGCCTGGAGTGAACCAGATGGGTCAGGGAGGCAGAGGCATGGCACAATCCCACTCTGAGAGATGATGCTATGCTTCTTTTTGAGACCTAAGTCCCAAAGACTGTGGGGAAGTGGGGTGTAAAGAAAAACCTTTGTTCACCAATAATCTTATGTTCTCTCCCTGGAACTCCAGGGAGGTCCAAAATGATGCCCCATGCCTCTATTCCTGGAGAGGTTCTGCAAGTGGCAGGCAAGAATGGGTATGGTGGACCTCGGGTTGGACCAAGTATAAGGCAGGATCCAAAGATTCTGCTTCTTCCTCAGATGGGATTTATTAAGAGCCTCTGTCCCAGTGTTGCAGAGGAGGCTACATGCGTCTAGAGATTGTCCAGTTCACCTACACTGGGGACACCCTCTGCCAAGGAATCTAAATGTGTTGAGGACTTTCTTTCTTTCAATTTCTGGGAATGCCCTTTGCGAGATGTGTGGAGAGGTGCATTCCAGGGAACTGGAGGAGAGTTCCAGAGGGGAACCCGGTGTGCTGCTACAGGTGTGAACATTGTGCAGCAGGGATGTTTTCCACCTCTACAGGTACCTCAAACATTACAAGTCATTCCTATTGAAATCAGGGCAGTATGTGCCACAAAGAACGTTCAAGGAGAGAAGATTTTACTGTTATGGAAGGTTGAATTCTCTCTTGCTACTGCATACCTATGTGGTTTTCTGGTTTTAAAAGTGTTCAACATTCACGGAGGGAATATTCTTTGTAAATAAGGCTGCATTTTGCCCAGCAGCTTGTGAATGCTGTCACATGGAGATTCTTTTCGATACTAGCATTTCCTCATGCTTTTGAAGCTCCACTTTCTTCCAAGGCTGGGTTTAGGTTAAAGCTGAAGGTGTTCGGGCAAACTCTGAATGGGGAAGCCGGAGGTTCCCTCTTAAGACATTGTAGGATTTCCCTGCAACCAGAAAAAAAGTGTTGCCATTTCAGTCATGGTTTTTGCAGCCTCAACTCCAGCATCAGCCCAAACAGATGTCAGAGATCAGTGCACAGTATTAACACAAAGCGTGCTTGATTTGCTTACATTAGTATGTGTGAAAATTCAGGAAAGAGTGCAGGGAACAGATTTTAGCATTCCATGATTTCATTTCTAGATACTGGTCTTCCTGGTAAAACATGCAACATTGAAACTTACACAGGTTGCTGACACAGAATGTTTTTAATCTTTTATACTAATGGCCATTAGCTGAATTAAAAAGTGCTGAATACTCTAGGGAAAGGAGATGTCTACATCTATTTTTGAGGATGGGGGCTGTACCCAAAGAAAGATCTGTGTTGAGCTTGAGATGGTTCCACAGCTATTTCTCCTTTCAGATGCAGTTCACTGAGCTCTGTGCCCACAAGATCAGCACCCAAACAAAAACCATGATCAGTGCATCCCCAAGACGATCCAGTTCCTATCCCATAAAGAGACATTTGATATCCTTCTACTTTCTCAGCTTCTTTTCCTCTGATTTGGCACATCTGCTGTGTTGGCAACTTTCATTAAATATCACAACACACCCATTGTCAAAGCCAACAACTGAGAGCTCAGGTATATCCTCCTCATCTCTCTCCTTCTCTGCTTCCTCTGCTCCTTCCTCTTCATTGGCTGACTTGCAAAGTTCACCTGTCTTTTGCGACAAGCGACTTTTGGCATCACATTCTCTCTTGCAGTTTCCTGTGTTTTGTCAAAAACCATCATGGTGGTCTTGGTGTTTATGGCCACCAAGCCGGGAAGCATGGCAAGTCAGCTCTTGGGAAGATCACTGACAACCTCCATTGTGCTGGTCTGTCCCCTCATCCAAGTGATGATCTGTGCTTTCTGGTTGCTGACCTCTCCCCCTTTCCCAAATCTGGACTTCCATTCCCTGTCTGGGGAGATCATTGTAGAATGCAACGAAGGCTCTGTCACCATGTTTTATGCTGTCCTGGCTTACATGGGCTTCCTGGCTCTTCTCAGCTTCAATGTGGCTTTCCTGGCCAGGAAATTACCTGACAGCTTCAACGAAGCCAAGTTCATCACCTTCAGCATGCTGGTCTTGTGCAGCGTGTGGGTCTCCTTTTTGCCCACCTACCTGAGCACCAAGGGGAAGTACGCGGTGGCTGTAGATGTCTTCTCCATCTTGTCCTCTGGGGCTGGTCTCCTGGGATGCACTTTTCTCCCCAAATGCTACATCGTTCTCCCGAGGCCCAGTCTCAATAGCAGAGGCCATCTCATACGACAATCATAATCTAAACAGTTTGTGCTTTGGTGAAATCTTGTGTATTATTTGGTACCTGAATAAATCAATATTCTGAATTACCTTTTCTCTTTTGGGTCTATTTTCTTGGAAGTCAAGGTTTCTTACACTCTACCTTCTGGCTCCTTCTATCACTGCCATGATTCTAATCCCTGAGGAATTCTGTGCAAGGAGGCTAGATGGTGGGCATGCAGTGGATGTCATCTATATGGATTCCCTCAAGCCCTTTGAGTAACTGTCACATGACATCCTGGTTGAGAAATTGAGGAGTTTTGGGATAGACCAATGCACTGTCCGATGGATTAGGGCATGTCTGACAGACTGAAAGCAGAGGATTATTTTTGGATGGGGAAGCAATAGATTGGCAGATGTTAAGAGTGGGTTCCCCCAGCGGACTAATCCTGTTCATTGTTTTCATCAATGATCTGGAAGAGGGGGTGGCCAGTCGGCTGATTAATTTGGGACAACACTAAAATGCGGGTGATGGCCACAATTAAGGACAAGGTCCTCTAGATCCAGAAGGATCTGAACAGGCTATGGAAGTGGGCTGGGGATAACAGGATGGCTTTCAGTGTGGATAAGTATGAGGTCTTGTTCTTGGAAAATAGGAATGAGTGTCAGAAGTACAGGTTAGGGGAAAAGTGGCTGGGGAGGAGCACTTATGAAAGAAATTTCAGGGTACTGGTTAACTCCAGGCTAAACATGAGTCAGCAGTGTGACGCACTGGTCAAGAGGATGAATGCGACCCTAGGTTGCATAGTCAGTAATGTGGCTTCTAGCTTGAGAGAAGTATTACTCCCCCTTTATATGATTCTGGTGCACCAGCAACTGGAATATTGTGTTCACTTCAAGGCTCCATGTCACAGAAAGGATATAACCATGTTGGAACTGCTGCAGCACAGGTCCACAAGCATGGTGGCCGGATTGCTGGGGTAGGAATATGAGGTGAGAATGAGGAAACTGGGTCTTTTCAGCTTGGAGAAGAACAAACTCAATGGGGATCTGATGGTGACATATAGGTAGGTAAAGGGGTGCCATGCGGAGGTAGGTAGAGACCTGGTTTCCCCTGCAGAGTAGGGCAGGACCTGTGTCAATGGAACAAAGCTCTGGGAACCAAGGTTCCATCTGGATGCCAGGAAGTACTTCCTGACAGTTAGGACTCTCAGGGTAAGAAACGGGCTTCCTTGGGAACTGGTTGTAGCCACTGGATGGGCTGGACATGCACATGGTAGGCCTGTCATGAGCAGAGCTGCCTGGATCCGGGGATCAGACTAGATGGCTCGGCAGGCCTCTTCTGACTCACTCTGTTTCCATGATTCATCTTGACTTGCTTCTAAGACCAGGCCATTCACAAGAGGAAGACAGTGAACTGAAGGAGGATGGATTCCAGGGAAGTTTGTTGCAAGAATTCATAGCAAACACTGGATATATTTATTTTTGTCTTTTTTTATTTAAGCAGCATGTTAAATGTTAATATTATTGAATTTTATCTGGCCAGGGCGGCTTATTTTATATTGTATAGTTGTATTTTATTTTAATGTATATATTTTAATTTTTACTTATGAGGACCTAACTTATTGTTGTAACCCGCCCTGTGGCTTTGGCGAATGGGGAGGGATAAAAATGTTTTAATAAAATAAATAAATAAATATATTTACATGACAGTTCCTCCTTGTGCCTCACACTGTGACTAAGGAGACATGAGTTGATTTGGAAAAACATTCCCTGTATGCATCAACTCCCATGGCTCCATGTTTCAGAGAAGAGGATTTCTTAAGTGAAAGGTGTCTTCTCCCTTTTCACCCTGACTTCCATATGAGTGACTCCTCTGACATTACACCACTTTAGTCCTCGAACATGAATGATGTAGTACATGGAAAAATATGGTGCCACAAAAGACTTTGCTGTGTTATCATGGGAAACTGATGATGTGGCCCGATGATGTGGACAAGGTGCTTGGACAAGTATGTCCCATCACTTGCTATTGGACCCTTGCCCGTTTTGGTTAACAAAGAATTCCAAGCATGGGATTGGGATCTGGATCTTGGAAGTGGTTAACGCTTCTCTGAGGGAGGGTCGGGTGCCTGCCCCTTTAAAGGAGGTGGTAATCCGACCGGTCCTGAAGAAGGCATCACTGGATCCAGAGATGGCCACTAACTATAGACCTGTGGCCAACATCCCGTTTCTGGGCAAGGTGTTAGATCGAGTGGTGGCGGAACAACTCCAAGCACTCTTGGATGAAACTGATTATCTGGACCCATTTCAGTCCGGCTTCAGACCCG